CAACAGACAATGAGCAAAACACCAGGAGCGCAAACAAGCAGCAACCCCTGGTGAAGGATCTAATTAGTGAACGGTATAAAATACTTAACATCACACAGAGTCTATGACACACACACACACACACACACCTCTGCATGTTTTCTGTCTGTCTTTCATCCCCCTTTGTGTCCCCTTTTTTTTAAAACACATTCTTTCATTTGCATTTATTCGTGTTTGGCCTCTTCCCAGACAACCCTTTGTCCTGTCGTCTCTTTAAACCCCTCACTATTCCACCGGCCTGCGTTTACAACCTCTACCCCAAAAATTGCAATTAATCCTGCTGCTGCAAACCGATCACTGTACTCCTACGAGATGCCAAGTGGAGGAAAATGGAAGACCAAAACACCAGCGGCTCTCACTGCTGTCTCCATGGTGAGCCTGCTGACCTGCTGATTACCCCCCTACACACTCACACACACTCGCCACAGAAATCCCTTTACCCCGGGCCTGTCTTTGACATGCTAAAATATAAAGAAAGAATGGAGTGATCAGGAAGAGCCCTCTTCAGACGTGGCACCCGACGTGTTCAGGGTAATTCACGGTGAATGGGCTCGTCTTTTGGAGCGTCCACACACGGTGCACACGGCCCTGCAGCCTAACATGTGTGTGAGACAATCATGAACTCACAGGGTTAATGATTTCTCTTGCGTCTCAGACTTACCTCCGCTAAGCCGTCTGCCCCTCATGTTTGTCTTCCCTCTGAGTTCTGAAGTCACTCCTATATTTGACGTTGTCTACCTCGACTTCTTTCACTCACTCACTCGCTCACTCGCTCACTCACTCGCTTGCTCACTCACTCTTTGCAGCTGTCAATACCATTCTCCCCCCTTGCTCTCACTTTGATGTAGTAACTGAGACTGAAGAGACAGATTTGATTTGTACGAGACAAAGAAGACAAGGTAGCAAGGACTGAGGCAGAGTAAAAAGTCAAGAAGGGGAGAGGAGGGAGAAGGCAAGAGTTCGGCCCTGACTCTGTTGGACAGTTGTTTCAGAGTTGTGAAGGGGGAAGGGTAAGATTTTTAGGGGGAGGGGATTTGGGGGAGACAGAGGGGAACATGCTGGCTCACTCCTAAAGTGTCAGTGTCTACAGTGGGACTCTGGAGTGCTGTAGATTTTCTTGCACTCTGTTCAGCCGGGGGTAGATGGATGATTTAACGTGAGGCCGTTTCCTTTTTTTTATTTATTTTTCTTCGTATATTTAACACTTGAAGTTGTGTGGATGAAGACAACTCATGGATTCTGACTCAGACTCTCCCTTCAACTACTCTTGGCCGTCCTTTCCCAAGATGAGGATGCACAAGAAGACGGGGAAAAAAGGTAGCGGAGTGGGGACTCTTACTGACTATGCTGTGTTCCTTTGCTCTCACAGATGTACGAGTACGAGCTTCCAGGAATATTGACAGAGTCGCCTTTAACCTTCGCACACACACCAGTTACACAGCTGACATTTTGATTTCTAGACAGTTGGGACAAGTCTTCACATGCGGTGTTTATGAATTTGACCAGTATCCTGAGTCAGGCCTTAAAGCTGCGTCATGTTTACAAAATGGAAAATAGAAAGTTTTATGGCAAACTGCGATCTTGGCGGGCACATTTCACCGTCAACTGTGGAACAATAAAGTTAAAATTAGATTGTTCCCATTACAGATACTTAGTCACAGGCCTCCACTGCACCGGCGAGTCACCAGTGGGGTGAGATAACGGCGTGTTTGCAGTGATGTAACCCGATATGTGACAGTACGTTGGGGAATGTCAGATGTCCACTCGAGACTGATTGAGTGACTTGGAACTTTAGGCATTCTCAGGCCACACTGTTGCCTGCATGAATGAGGAGCTGTGGCCTCCAGTGACAGCTGGACCCACAACACTAGACACACTAGGTTTTAATTTGTACCTCCGCAGATAAGCCCAGGCACCTGCGATTGATACGTTTTGATCAGTTTG